GTACCGTCAACGGGAATGTGGTCGCCCCCGACACGATCTTCCTGATTGTGGAGTCAAATCTTCAAACGCGAATTGCGGGTGAACGGGACGTCGGAAGGGGGTACCGTCAAAGGAAATGTGGTAGCCCCCGACACGATTTTCCTGATGGTGGAGTCAAATCTTCAAACGCGAATTGCTGGTAAACGGGACGTCGGAAGGAGGTACCGTCAAAGGGAATGTGGTAGCCCCCGACACGATCTTCCTGATGGTGGAGTCAAATCTTCAAACGCGAATTGCGGGTGAACCGAACGTCGGAAGTGGGTACCGTCAAAGGGAATGTGGTAGCCCCCGACACGATCTTCCTGATGGTGGAGTCAAATCTTTAAAAGCGAATTGCGGGTGCACGAGGAAAGTGGGAAGCGGTTAGTGAATGTAGTAGCCTTCGACAAGATCTGTTATTGATGGTTGAATCGAAAGTGGCTAATAGAAAACTGATCTGCCACACAAAAATGCGCTGAAGTCCCTTCGATCTCAAACGAGGACTTTGATATTTTTTTTATTTTACTTTTTTTATAATAATTTAATAATAATGTATGTATACGCTTCTATATTTACTTTTATAATTGTTCATGTATGGATTACTAAGAGTCTGTTGAACAATAAACATTACTGAATTACTGAATTGAGTAGTATGACGCATTATTTTATGACATGAGGTGGTTCATAGGACTAGTAATTGAAGTGGATGGTATTCAAACAACTGTGACATTACTTAAAAAAGTAATGTGCCTTCAAAAGTTGACAAAACCCTCTTTTTGTATGGTCCAATAAATCTTTTAGGTATCATGCGTTTTCAATTTAAAAGAACAGATTTTGTGAATGTTTAAAAACAAAGTCCTTCAAAGAATGCCTCTAATTATGTGCAATATGTTTGTAGTTTGTAACGAGAGTTGTAGTGTAGGGTCAATGCCTATAGGATAGGTATGGTTTTGTTATTTCTATTGGTGTTGTTTGCATTTTTTCGTTAGGGTTGTATTAAAATAGCTATTTATATATCAAGTACATAAACTGGGTCTTTATGGACGAGCCGTTTATTTAGCCGAGCGAGCTTGGGAGCGAGGCACAAATAAACAAGGCCGAGTCCCCATAAAGCCTATTTATGGACGCGATATATACAAAGCTTTATGTATGACTGCAACAACCCTTAAAAATGAAAATTTCATGGAATTCAATAAAAGATAAAATCTATATATCATTGACAACAGATGTCAAGCATTTGCCATACTTGAATTTACCTTGGATTGACACCTAAGTACGACTGTCACATTGACAGGCGGCCGTTTATCATTATGGACTAGGCCATAATATTGCAAATTATGGCCACTAATTGTGACTGTAATCACCGCATTATCAAGCAGTCGTATATGTTTATTTTTGCATTATTTATATGATATTATCATATATAGGTACCGTTGTATTTCTGTGTGCTGGCCCGCTATCATAATGCAAGTGTAATTATGTTCATTTACCTTTGTCTTTTCAAATGATAGAAAGTATTTATGTTTATATTGCACGTTTATTGTTTGTACTTTTTTCGCGAGTTCTGGGGAGTAGGTAATGAAATTAAAAAATCTTTTTAAGATGGAACTCAATCTTTCCTTGGATTTATCCAATTTAGTGGACAATCAGGGGAAATTGAAAAGGAATTAGGGGGAATTGAAAGGAATTAATGGAAAAGGGGAATTTTGGTGTATAAATGTCAGGATAGATGTTCATTGATGTTGGTGAAATACTCCTCGGGTCCAATCAATTGCCAGACTGTGGTTGAGCTCTCAACGGACAAACACTAAAAATTACATTTAAAAGTTAAAGGAATCCTTTCATATACCACAATCTTTGCGATAATATAATCGTGTTAAATTATGAAGCTACCTGTAAGAATTTTATGGGGCTGGATGTGAAGAAATAGTAAATATATATATAGGTATAAAAGCTCAAAACCTAAAATTTTATATGGTATTATCCTAGGCCTAGCTAGATGGTACAAATTGTTGAATATGAGGGCATTTAAATGTGTGTTACTATGGTTACTATAATGTTTTAAATTTTCACTGATTAATATACTCCATTAATATTAGACCAATCAGCTTGGTGATTGTTTCAAATTCTAACCAATCAGATGATTTTTTATCTGATTAAAGGCTAGGTAGCTTTTTATCACCGATAAAAATGCGCGTAGGAATGCGTAAAATATATAGTGGTTGTAAAATTGACTGTCTTTTATTAATCTCTCTAAAATACACTCGATCTTGGTTTTAAATCAGGATAATTTAATTTTTAATTCACTCAAATTTTGTTGCTTCCTGGAAAAAACTCTCGACCAAAAGCACATGATAAAACCGCGACAATTTTGATCTCTAGTTTTTTCCGTTGCAACAAAACTTTTGTGTAAAAATAAAATTATCCGATTAAAAATCAAGCTCTTGTGTATTTTCCCCCGATAATAATTTCGAATTAATCAATTTTTATGTGTGTTAAATGAATTTTGTTAATAATAAAGTTTAACACATATTTATAGCAAACTACTGAGTTTGTATAGAACTAGTGTACATACTTAGCCATACCGAATGGAAAAAGAACGAATTCAATATCTTGAAAACTGCAGGACTAGTAAAGGCCTATAGGAAGGACGTACGGAGAAAGTGGCCATAATAGTGCCTTCCAACATGAGTTGGAAAATGCGCTAAAAATGTAGGGTGGGTTCCCTTCCCACCATCGGAAATCTTCGTATCAGGATGGATTTTTTTTAAATACTCGAAATTGAGTTCGCTTCCCTCTTTGTTTCGGCTACTTTCAATCTTAGATTCATTGTATTTGAGGTACGGTGAAAAAGGGTGGCGAGAAAAATTTTTTACGAAGCTCTCTGGTCATTAACTTTTTTCTGATTCATCTGACGGTGTTTTTTTTAATATAAACTTACAAAAAGTCCTGACGAATCTAAAGATCTCCGTTTGCGCGCTGTGGGTTAAGTAGAACGCGAATATGAACGTTTAAGGAAAAAAATCTGATTCAAAATGGTGGTAAAAATTGTGAACTTTGAGAGTGCGCAAACTCAGAGATCCTTTCGATCGAGGAGCAAAAGAAAAAATGTACCCAAAATTCCTGGATCCCTAAAATACAAAACCTTTAGGTTATAAATATATCATATTTTATTTTAGGCTGCAAAGTATTTCATTTTTCATTTGCCTATTTTATATCTGCCATATGAGATATGTAAAGCAGTCTATTACGCCCGAGGGCATAGTTATCTCATTATGCCTTCAAACGGCCTGTCAAATATATTTATGGAGTTATATTATGTAATAAAAAAAGATGCTACTTGATTAATATGAAGCATTTTACTGTTGGGCAAACAATAATCATTACATTTTTATATTGGAAATGCAATATTTGGAACGATGAAAAATAAAATTTTGTATGCACCTCTGGCATTACTCAATATTTAACCCTGGGGCGACTTACGATCCCTCGGGCTCTGTCGCCCACGGCATAAATATCGCATTAATGCCCTTGATGCATAAATAACTATTGTTTTCAAATCAGTTTATTTTAAATTGCATAATTAGGTAGTTATTTTTTTTTTTCAAAGTAAAAAATCATACGTGTGGCATAAAATTTAAATCAGAAATAAATCCCAAAATATAACTTGAAGGTCGCATAAGAAAAAAAAGGGCCCGATGTATATCCGTAGTCAAGAGGAGGCAGAACACTGGACACAAGAAATCGATAATCGTGGAAACTGTTGTGTCGTCGATGACCCATAAATGATCTTTAGGTAATTACATCGAATTGCAAGTTATTACGAGTATAATGTACCCTTTCCAGATTTATTTGAAGCTTTACCAGTTTACCGTTTATCTTCAAAAAAAGGTCGTACCCATCTCGACACATTCAAATGTCAAAATTGTAGGTAGTTATGCTTCAACCGTGCACCAGAATGTTCTGCAAATGTGAACGATTTAGGCAAGGTAAGATAATTAATGTAATACTACATAGCTACATAATTTAATCCATACCTACAGAAATTCTTTTAAAATGATGCATACGTACCTACCTACAATGTCTCTATGTATCTTTTTAAATGAACCACATAAAAGCATTAGGAACGAAAAACACTGTGATAAATAAATATCTCTGCGGCTCGCCAATTTTTCTTTCTTTTTCTTTACGGACATTTCAGCATCTACATGAACAATACTTTACTCAAAATGTGAATCTCAAATTATCATTTGTTAATAGACGCTATTTAAGTCGTCTAAACTCTCTAGTCTAATGCTTTGCCATGGCAAATTGTACTAGAAATATCTCGTATGTTGGTGCTATTCAATAAGTCAATAGGTTACAAACTCAATGTGTAAAATAAAACTCAAATTTTCGAAACATACCCTTTTTCATTACTTGCTTTGATCTTATACACCTACTACTCTATCAAATTAGGCGCGTGTTTTTAATTGATTATTCAAGTTCTGGTGAAGCTGTCACCTAAGTAAATTAGGTGAGAGGTCTTTTCACTGTTCACTTCAGTAGGTAGCATTATACTGCATCAACTGCACATTGCGCAAAACAAATGGTATCGATAATTAAATTAACGCTTTTCATTATGTAGTACAATTATCCTGAATATCAAATTAAGTTTATACAACGGTTTAATGCAATCCCACACTATTGTTTATATAACGAATTAAAACAATTGTCATACCAAAACAAATAAAACTAAATATTCAATTATTCACCTTTACAAAGGTCAATTAATTAATATAATTACCCTTAATTGCACACTGTCATGAAATTGGGTGGTATAGTTGCTAATTAGGTATAGTATTGTATATTTAACGTTATTCACAGTTTCACTCATCGCTTATTATGGACGCCCAGAGGTCGGAACTTTGTCATTTTACTATTTTCTTGCGTATTATCACAAACCGTGTAAATTTCCACATATCAGAACTATAGGTACCTATACATACTCGTACATTGCATAATATAACATGCACATCCTACGTGGGATTTTGTATATCCGTAGAAAGTGGAAAATTAAGTCGCAAATGTCCGATGTATGTGCAGACTTCACATAATACATAGTATACAGGGTGTAAATAGAACTAGGGAACGCGATTTTTCTCCGAAGTTATTAGAGATACAAAAAAATCTTTCAAATAAAATGTTTAATGTTTCTAGTAAGCTACATAAATTAATGTAGGTAAACAAAAATATTTTAATTTTCGGAGATATACCTATTTTTCACTTTTTTAAATGGGACGCCTTTTTTTATACTATTTGGTAGGAAATAATTTCTGCTTTTAAAAAGTTTGATAAATTATACCATAATATAACATATGATTATACCTTCTAAAGTTAATAGAATTCGAGATATTAAAGAAAATATTAAAATAATTTTACTAGAAATTAAAGCTGGCTATGGAAACAAAATTAATTGTTATAACTTTGTGAACAAGTTTATTGAATTGATAACTTTAATTAACTATTAATTAACGAGAAGGTTTATAAGTTGAAATGTTTTCATTTATCAAACAATAATTCAAGACAAACCCTGCGATTATGCCGGCAACAATATCTTGATCACTTTCATCCAAATCAAACATATTTTTTCAAATTAGAAAAAAGGCTATATAGAACTGGTTCCCTGACTATGGCAAATCGCAAAGTTCATCAAATAAATGAAAATTTGGAAGCTAATGTATTACTTACCATATTTTAATGTGCATCCGAGAAATTGAGTTAGAGAAGCTGCAGTACACAGGATTTAAAAAAAAAGCATAAATTCAAAGCCTACAAAATACATAAAATCCATAGTCTCCGTCCTGGAGGGATTCACTTTTGCAATTTGGTAATTCAGGAATCTCGAATTCTATATAAAGTTTAGAAGGTATAAGTTTTTAAAGCAAAAATTATTTCCTAGTAAATAGTATAAAAATATACAGGGCGTGCCATTTAAAAAAAGTCAAAAATAGGTATATCTCTGAAAATTAAAATGTTTTTTTCTAATTTACATTAATTCATGTAGTTTACTAGAAACACTAAAACTTTGCTTGAAAGATTTTTTTGTATCCTTAATCACTTCGAAGAAAAATCGCGTTCGCTAGTTCCGTTTACACCCTGTATACGTTTTGGACGTCTTTTACGTATATTCGTGTAACTTATATAAGTTTAAAATTCGTTACAGGCGAAAATTCGCGTCCGGTAAACTGGACAGCCATAGTCAATAAAAGGATACCTATAACAGCGTGGATTCCACACTACACCTTGGCAGCCCTTTTTCAGGACATCCTCGCCGGGTTTACAGTAGGTTTGACGGAAATACCTCAAGCAATTGCAAGTGCTATGGTAGCAGGTGAAAAACAGCACTTACATTAACCCATACACGTGGAGTAACATTACTTTGTAGGAGTTCCTCCGCAATACGGTTTATACTCGGGAATTTTAGACGCAATAGTGTATGTAATTTTTGGAACATGTAAAGATATCAATATCGGACCCACGGCTATAATGTCTTTAATGGTGCAACCTCACGTTAAGAAGATGGGTCCCGACATGGCGGTGCTTATAACGTTTTTATCCGGTGCAATTATTTTCGTATTCGGTCTGCTACGCTTAGGTAAACGATGTGAAGAAAACGTGCATTTCCGTACGGTTTGTTTTAGGATTCCTGACTGAATTCTTTTCTTTTCCCGTTATAACAGGATTCATGACGGCCGCAGCTATACAAATCGGTTTATCGCAGATACCAAATTTGCTGGGCATACCTGGAGGGGGCAACGAATTTCTGGAAGCTTGGATAACTATTTCCGAAAACATTGCGCAAATAAGCTGGTGGGATTCGCTATTGGGGATATCCACTATTACCATTTTAATATTACTAAAGGTACATCCACATTACAATAATAATAACCATAACAGTTAAACATCATCCATGAGGAATTTTAGCGAGTGGGGCGCTACGGAGGTCGTCACAATCGCCCAGAATTATCAACCACCAAAAATATCTTAAGAAAAGTGCTATGGCTATGCTCCATTGCACGTAATTCTGTCGTTGTCATTATTGGAACGTTAATTGCATGGATCTTATACACGAATGGAATGAAGCCTTTTAAATTAACAGGTAGGTAGGTACAAGTAATTTAATCTTTTGAAGAATTGTGTTATTGTCATTCCCAGATAAAATTGACAATGGGTTGCCCACGATCCAATTACCACCATTCAGCACGGTTTTCAATAACCAAACGTACTCATTTGTGGATATGATTAAACAGTACGAAAGCACTATTGCATTTATGCCACTAATTGCCATTTTAGAGCATGTGGCTATAGCTAAATCCTTTGGTATGTTCTTAATGCGAGGTCTCCAAAAATTTTTGCATTTTTTAGCAAAAGGAAAGACAGTTGACGCGACTCAAGAAATGATAGCCTTAGGCTTATGTAATCTTTCTGGGTCTTTGATAAGGTCAATACCGGTAACTGGATCTTTCATTCGCTCTGCCATCAATAACGTTTCGGGGGTTCAAACTACTTTAGCGGGTGTTATGGTTACTGTAATGATATTCCTCGCCCTTGTTTTTCTAACCACTGCATTTTCCTTTATACCCAAAGCGACATTGGCCGCTACTGTAATATGTGCAATTGCTCAGAGTGTAGATTTTAAAGCAATCATTACACTATGGAGAACTAAAAGTAAATGTTTTACACAGTTCGCTTATCAAGAGCTATAAACTTTTCTCTAGAGATGGATCTAATACCTTTCCTCATTACACTAGTGAAGTGACATCCCTTATAATTGGATTGGAATATGGAATTTTAATTGGAACTGGTAGCAACATCATTTTTCTACTCCACTCCAGCGCGCGTCCGTCAATTGAGATTGAAAGAGAGAAATCTCCACAAGGCGACGTATTTGTAGTAACCCCGAGTAGAAGTCTCCAATTTCCATCGGCCGAATATCTGAGGGAAAAAGTGATACAAGACTGTTACGATCCCAAAGTAACGGTCGTACTCAATGGAAAGTACATAAATAATGTTGACGCAACAGTGGCGAAAAACTTTAAAGTTCTTGCCGACGATCTGATACTGCGAGAGCAAAATATTATATTTTGGAACTTTAAAATGAACGTCAGAAATATCTGTAAAGGCGTAGATCAAAAGTTGGTGGACTTTTTTAAGGATGGCAATCTGCAGGATATTATCGAGGGTGCGGTGCTAAATTGTTTGTTTATTTATTTTATATATTTTATATTTATATATATTTCAGCAGCGACACCAAATGGAGTACCTACGCTCATGGTCCGATTTTAATTAGATTTTCGCACTTTTTACAATTGCAAATCTTTGTAGCCCCCGTAACTACTGTGATACTGTGATTTTGGAAAAGGAGAATATCTTTAATTTATTCGACACCTGTGTATGTTAATATTTTAATAAATGACGTATAACTTTTAATTCGATCTATTATTTTCGCCGAGTCAATGAAGATTTTTCTCTGGAAACAGCTCCGATTTTTATGATTTTTTTGTTTGTTAAAAGTTTTGCATTTTTATATTGTTTCAAATCAGACCTTTTCGAAAGGGGAAATAATTACTTTCGATGTTTAAACAATATTTATACTACTTATATAAAAAAATTTGTCTTGTGTAATTTTTGATAGAGACAAAGGGCGATATTGCACGAGAAAAGGTCGCAACAATGTCAGTGACTCAGTATTCGTCTGCATCGCGATGAATTTATCTTTGTAATTTGTTATCAAAATTCATAGTAACATAATGCAGAAAATATTTATATATCATTTATTAGTAATATAATAGTATATTATATACCTACTAGGATAGTCTAGCTCTAGTAGGTACTATTGCGTGAGCACTTCAGGATGTCATCTTGCTGCTCGGGCAACGATAGACTTCTCTACATTGGTATATTATTGTTTTCACCACTAGTCTTCTAAATTAACAGACGTCCCAATCACCATTTGTGAGTACACTCCCGAATTATAACCGATAACGATAAGGCGTCGAGAAGGATGACTGTGGTTGGTACAAAATAATTCCTTTCGTTGAGACCTTTTAGCAGAGTACCGTGATAAAATCCCAACCCCAACCTCCAATTTTGATAAGGGATAAGGGAGGTAGCTAGTAGAAAACAGTGCCTTTCGTTAATTTAAGAGCCCCCCACCCCTTCTAAGACAACAAAATTTGTAGGCCATCTGGTACATTGCCAAGGCTACCTATTGCAAAAAATTCTATGACACTAGGGCAATGTCCTTCAATCAAATGCAGTTAAATCACCAACAATACACAAGAGACATACAAGTCAACAATACGATAAATCAAAGCAAGTACAAAGCGCAGCTGCGGCTGAATTTAAACAAAACAACTCGTAAAATGATAAATTGCATGTACATAAAAAACACTATATGGACATGGTTTTGTTCCAGCACGAAAAGTACAAGCGGCATTCATGTTCAAGTTTATTATCGCACAAGCGAAATCCACATCCGAAATCGAAGACATATCAATTAGAGAACCCCCTTCTCGTATTGCTTACACACCGTCCAGCAGCGGGCAGCAGAAAGAAAGCAACAGATGCAGCGATGAATCGAACGGATCTCGAAAATAGTTAAACCACTCATACAGAGAAACATCCAATTAGGGGACCCCTCTTCTCGTATATGCTAAGACACAAGAGCTGCAGTCCGCAAGAGATGAAGGAGCAACATATGCACTCCGGTACTCCCTCCAAGAAATTGTTAAATCGAAACGTACAGAGCCACAACATACTGATAATAAACTGGTGTTGTGAATACATTAACAAATACTTAGTAAAACAATTGATAATAAACTGGTGTTGTGAATACATTAACAAATACTTAGTAAAACAATATAAAGGCATAATCGCCTGTACAGAATAACAAACAAAAGCTTCAAGTACGCCACGCTTTAATATCAGCATTTTATGCAAAATGTAAATAATAACAAATTGTGGCATGAAATTCAGTGGTTAATAGTTAGTAGAAGAAGGAATAAAATGATCACTACCTGTAAATACACTTCTCAAAACACAACAAACAAAATAAAACGCGAGACCCGCCATTACTCAACCTCGGTTCGGATTTGAATCCCGTTAACCGAGATGAATTTTTCCCCCAAGCTTCGTTGTGTAAATTATACAGAGCGTTTCCTATTTGCCCCATACTGCGATCCTTTCAGTTGTGAGAGGTGTGTTGCCTAACCGTAGGCTATGTAACCACATACTTCAATTTTAGGTATATTTTCCCATATATACTCAGTGACATGGAAATTGCAACACCAAGAAGGAGTAGGAATTTTTGGACCAAACTTGGTAGAAATGTTTAACTACTAAAAGGTAACAATTGATTAAAATTTAAAAGAAAAGGAACGAAATATAAACATATTTTTATTAATAATAATAATAGTCCCTCCCTATTGGTTACGCACTCCCTCGCTTTTCGTAGCATCAATTTTAGCAGAAGGTTGATTTCCTCTTAATAATAATAATAATATCTTTATTCTTGAAACTGTGCATCACAGCTATTGAAACGTCATACAGAGTGAAAAAATAACAAACTTTACGTGAAGGTACGAACAACATTGAGGGAACACATAATAAATAAATTAGCAAGTGGAAACTTGGAAATTTAATTTTATTTTTAAATGATAGTTGGTTGCAGGTGGTGAACTCTAACGGCAACAAGTTAAACAATTGTGAACCCATCATATATAGGGGGATTTATTATAGAAAGAGCGGTGGTGCTTCGTTGTGGAAATTTTGTCCTTACCCCTCGTATTGTAGGTGTGGGTATCTCCCACTTTCCCAAAACTGTTTATATTTTTGTGTATGTAACAGAGCAATTTGAATATGTAAATACTGGGGAGGGGTAAGATTTTAAAAGTTTTAAATGACCCTCTGCATGATTGGAGAGAACTTAGATTAAATATTAAGCGTTTCTGCGCAACAAATAGTCTGTGCAAGTACGTACTGCTCCCCCAGCAGACAATGTTATAATTTATATGCGAGTAAACTGTGGCATAATAAACCTTTATTAAAAAATCTTGGTGAAACTGTTGTTTCAAATGTGATAACAAATAATATGATTTGTTGATTTTAGCAATTAGATATTCTATATGATTTGACCACGACAAACAATTATTAATTTTGATGCCTAGATACATGGTGGGCGTGCTACAGGAGATCACAGAGTTCTCTACGTCAAATTCGACAGCAGCATTTTCGTGTGTTTTATTTTTGGTCATTTTCACAATCACGGTTTTCCGAGAGTTAATGAACAGTTTATTTTCCTGGCACCAAGAAACAAATTCGTTTTACACACTTTTTACACATTTTAGTTTGTGGGTGGCAGCATCATCATAGTTAGCACTTACTACTACTGCAGTGTCGTCTGCGTAAATAAAAGGTATTGTGTACCAAGAAAATGAAGCAACCTGTAATGGATTGTTTAGAGCTTGCAGGGTCTGCGGAGGAGAAGATGTCTTACACATGCTCGATAGGCGATATATCGGGAGATCTGGATGGCAATTGCAAGAAATTGACATTATCATGTGCAAATAGGTCCATAGAACGTCTTCAATATGGGGATGGGTATTATCCTGCTGGAAAAGTGGGTCTTCCAACTACTGAAGAAGTGGAAGAATATCGGGTTCTTTCACGTCTCCACATATCGCTGGGCGTTCATACTACCTCGAATGAATAACGAACGAGACCTACTTCCATAAGTTATAGTACCCCATACCATAGTCCCTACAGCTTGGTGCACATGCTTCGTAACAGAAAATTCAACATTGCGACGTTCTCCACGTCTTTGGTTGCCTCTCATACGGTCATCGTGCATACCCAAACAAAATCGGGATGCATCAATGAACACCACCCTATGCCACTCGAGGTTCCAGCGTAGTCGCAACCTACACCATTCCAAACGCTGCTGGCGGCGTTGGGCTGTTAATGGAAACACAAGATGTGGCCGATAGGATTGCAAGCCGTAAGGTCTGATTCTGTGGTAAACCGTTCGAAGTGTTACAGGACAACCTTCGTTAGCTAACCATTGATCGGTAATTGACCTGGTACTAGAAAATTGGTTTCTTGTTGCCATAAGTCAAAGATGGCGATCCCGCACTTCATTTGTTCTTTTTTGCCCCCCCCCCATCCCTGCCCCCTCCCTTTCCTCTTTACGACGATCCTGCCCCTTCCCAAATTCATGCCCGACTGCAGCGAATCATGGTGGATGGCTTTGATTAAGGTGACTTGCAATTTTTCTGGCAGAAAAACCACTTGCATAAAAACCAACAATATGACAGCTGTTGACTTCTCTTAATTCGCGGCAAATTCCACGGTGGCGTATTCTAGGCATGATCACAGCCTCAAAAGAAATGATTAAAAGCGAAAACAATAAGAACTGAACAAAATCTCGCTAAACATACACCATATAAAATTAGTAGAAAAAAATGAAAAAACTGTCAAATAAGCCATTACCACTTGATCCATATGAATGAAATTTTAATCAATTGTTACCGTTTAGTAGTTAAACATTTCTACCAAGTTTGGTAAAAAAATTCCTACTCCTTCTTGGTGTTGCAATTTCCATGTCACTGAGTATATTTCTTATTTATTTAGGTTGGAACCGAAAACAAATGGGACCGGAACCGAAAACTACCCAAGCTACAGGACCGGAATCCTTAACAAAGTTCTACCCAAGTACTTCGGAACCGGAACCTATAGTTCATATGGGCCTGGATCAAAACAAGATCTCTGAATATTTGCGAAAGACGATAGACCGACAAAGGCAGAAAGAGCACATAAGTGCGTCAAAGCAATATATTTTGCAGTTTCCACATAGAAATCGCTCCACTAACTTAACCAAAATGAGTGTATGACAGGGCAAATACATCATTTACCCCTCGTGCATCAAGACAATGCGTTTAGTTTCATAAATAAACAGTTTGCTTTCCCAACTAAAGAAAAAATGATGTATGACAGGAAGACTACAAATTCTACTTTGCGTTTTGTTCCGTTTCCTAGACAAAATTAGTGAATAATTAAAAATTTACCCCAAGTATCGGCATTATACCGAAGCGAATAGCAAAAACATTTCTTGCTAACCTATAAGTAAATATAAATGGGGTTTCACACGGACGAACGGACTGAAAAACACCCGTAATAGCCCATCTTATTTTTCGGAAAATGCCCTACAAAGAGTGTTAAGCAATGGGTCATAATAGCTTATGTAAGGTGATTTAAAATAATTAGCAAACTCCAAAACCATTCTAGGTATATCTGCATAGTATTTTGTTTCCAAATCAGTTTTTTTAATTGCATATTAAGTGAGTTTTTTTCAATGTAGAGAACCATAAGGTACGGTATAAAAATAAAAAATAAATACCTATCTTTAATAGTACATTGAAATACAAGTGCAGAAACGGTATTATTGAAAAACGAGTATAAATGTAGGAACACGAGCGCCAGCGAGTGTTCCTATTATACGAGTTTTTCAATTACCGTTTCGGCATGCGTGTTTCATACTATTTTTTCTACGAAAGTGAAAAATTCTTCTCTAGAAATTAGAAATTTCAACTAGCCAAATAACGACAAAAAATCGTATAGTCTGATCGTAGTTGGATGTTTCAATTGTAAATGATCCAGTAAGCCGGTTGCCATGACAAAACATAATTGTTTGAAAAATCGTAAATTTAAGTCAAACAATTTGTGGCGTAGTGAAGAAGTGTTAAGATAGATTTTGACGAAACTGAAGATGAAGAAGGTATGTGCACCCCGCCGGACGTTGCGGAAATGGCTAATGCGGTTTCGCATGAATTGCTACCCCAAAAGTGTAAGCAGCGTTTCGGAAAGAAGCTTTTTTATAAGAGAACAAATCGCTAAGTTTTTGAGAGAAGCGCCTGATGAAACATTTGTAATGATGAAGGTTTGTGAATTTCTTATTGTATTTTTAAATCATAAATAAGCATAATTTAATTACAGGTTGCTCTCGTCCTTGGAGTGGATGGAGCTTGCCGTCGCGTCGGAGCGAACGTTGTAAAATGACTGTAACGGATTTCACAGAACAAGATGCAATTTTATTGATACCTAACGATTCCTGACTCCAAGAATCATGTCCCAAGAACGTTTTCTGTAGCAGAAGGCAAAGAAAATTCTACCATTGTCTGTCTTATATAACGAAACTGTGAATAAAGCAATACAATTACAAAGAGTTACTTCGCATATGTTTATTAGCGTGTAGAAAATGCGTGCAGAAAATATTTTTGCCGCACTAGTGTTTCAAAGACCTGTTTTCACAATCAATTTACCTACAAAAACAATCGTGTTTCTACACTTTCGTAGAAAAAATTGTTTTTTGCACTCCTTCGTTCTAAATCGCGTTTTCCCAATCAAACACGAACGTCGGGAACGTCAATTTTACAATTGACTATCTACTTTCGCGCACTAGTGCCTAAAAATTCAAAGAAATTATCTATTTAGTGCGGATCATAAACTAATAAGTAGCATGATGGAAGAGTAAAAAAGAAAATATAAATACACTTTACAACATTCCCTGTAGTACACGGGCAAAAATAAGCTTAAACCAGAAGTTTTTAACAATAAATTGACATTTTAAATTTCTACTTTATCGGCATAGAGGACTTGATTTTTTCAATAGAATTATAATGTCGCAAAAATCTCGCGAAAAGGATTTGAATTTATATAAATTGGATTTAACTAATCCGTGCAAAAAATAGAATACATCTGTTACGTGCGTGAACAGTATTTGCTTGATTCGCGCGAGATGCGTCGCTCGTGCGCGTTGCGCACTCGCGCCGCCAAACTTCGCGCTCATCTTCAAAATAACTGTTCCCGCACTAACAATGTAAATAACTATTTCAGACTCTACCTATCGCGACTCATTCCAATTGCAGTTATCCTTCAACCGTGCACCAGAATGTTCTTCAAATGTAAGAGACCTAGGCAAGGTACGGCAATTAACGTAATACTAGCTACCTAATTTGGTTTATATAAAGGGATTCTCACGTACAATGTTTCTATGTAGGTACCTAAATTTTTAAATGGACCACATTAAAGAAACTTTAGATCGCATTTTATAGGGAACTCAATAACAGCTACTGACCAATGTTACTCGAAATTTGGAAATTAAATATTTATTTTATTGTAATCTGAGAATACAAATGCGCACACAAAAGGTATACCTGCCTAATAAATGAAGCGTTATTCAATATCAAAACGAAAAATTAGATAAGTTTACCACTGTAATCTAAAATGCCCCTGTGGCTCAAGTTGGTTTAAACTACCCCCCAACGTATTGTAAATTGTAATAATTGCCCATCAACATTTTTCCTTCCTTTTGGATTTCAGTAATAATAATTATAATATATGCTTACAGGAAAACTTGCTTGCATTCGTCATAAATTACAATGGAAATATTACAAAAAAAAACTTCCTCAAAGGTATAGAATGAATTATTTAAAAGAAGCGTTTTGACTCTTAACTCTTATAAATACAGAACATTGCACAAAAACAAAAGATAGTGATAACTCAGTTAAAACTTTTCATCAAAGTAAGAGCATCAACAATCAGTTTAATTGAATGCAAACCCACACTATTGTTTACCATATATAAAAAATTAAAGCAATTATCACAAAAAAAACAAATAAAATTAAATGTTCAATTCTTCGCCTATACAAAGCTCAATTAGTTAATAATATCCTTCATTGTATACTGTCACGAGATTAGGCCGTATAGTTGCCAATTAGGTGCAGTATTGTATATTTAATAATATTGAGAGTTGCTACTTTATTGCTTATTATACTCTTCGTAGAGGTCCAGAGATCGGAGCTTTGTCATATTTCTATTATTGCACTATTTTTGGTATTATCACGAATTGTACAAATGAGACTTATTGTAACGTAAATTCAATTGCATCGTTTATTTATAACAATTAGTCAACAGTCTCAAAATGGATTAATTTATAACAGTAATTACGATATATTATTCACAATTTATATTGAAACAAGAACGCATCGAAGTAAGAATTGAACTCGAACGCAATTAGATTTGCTTATATAGTAAAGTCGAATGTTCCTGAGCGGTCGCGAACATTCGAGAATACAATTTCTCGAAAAGATTACGTCACATCCGCTTTCGTACTGTATCGAGGATGCCTAATCTTTCATGGCGCCTCGATGTTTGTGGAATTTTTTGGAATGTTCGCTACACTATCTTGTATATTAAGTAAAATTAGCTCGTACACTGAAATTAGTAAAATTATTCACAATTTTTTGGAGGTCCGTATCAGATTTTGCCAAAGTACCTACTTATATTGTGAGTGTCCCTAAGCCTAAATGCGATGACCTTTATTTAACTACGTACCTACTACCTAAAAGTTTTTAAGTATTTAATATCGTAGGCTTCGATCATAGGCGTTATAGTTTTACAGTTTGTTAGTGTTCCCAGCTGTCTATAGGATCCTACCACCTTATATACGCACGCACCATTCTCTAATTTAAGGGTTTAGATTGTTATAAATCTACTTTTTTTGGATAAGTGTAGGTACACTTAAATTTCAAATTCGTTACAGGCGAAAATTTTCGTCCGGTTAGCTGGACAGAGATAGTAAAGAAAAGGATACCTATAACGGCGTGGATTCCACACTACACCCTTGCAGCCCTTTTTCAGGACATCCTCGCCGGGTTTACAGTGGGTTTGGCGGAAATACCTCAAGCAATTGCAAATGCTATGATAGCAGGTGAAAAAACAGCACTGCAATAACCCAAACGTGGAATAACTTCACTTTGTAGGAGTTCCTCCGCAATACGGTTTATACTCGGGAATTTTAGACTCAATAGTGTATGTAATTTTTGGAACATGTAAAGATATCAATATTGGACCGACGACTGTAATGGCGTTAATGGTGCAACCTCACGTTGAGAAGTTGGGTCCCGACATGGCAGTGCTCATAACGTTTTTATCGGGTGCCATTATTTTCGTAATCGGTCTGCTACATTTAGGTAAACGATGTTAAAAAATCGTATTTCAATACGGCGTGTTTTAGGTTTTTTAATTGAATTCTTTTCTTTCCCCGTTGTTGCGGGATTTGTAACGGCCGCAGCTATACAAATCGGTTCTTCGCAAATAAAAAATTTGCTGGGAATACCTGGAAAGGCCAACGAATTCCTGGAAACTTGGATAACTGTTTCCGAAAACATCGCGCAAATAAGCTGCTGGGATTCGTTATTGGGGATATCCACTATTGCCACTTTAATACTACTAAAGGTATATCTGCACAACATAACAATTAAATATCATGAGGAATTTTAGCGAGTGGGGCACTATGGAGGTCGACGCAATCGTCCAGAATTATCAACCACCAAAAATATCTTAAGAAAAGTGTTATGGCTATGCTCCATTGCACGTAATGCTCTCGTTGCCATTATTGGAACGTTAATTGCATGGATCTTATACACGAATGGAATGCAACCTTTTAAATTAACAGGTACGTATAGCTAATTTATTTTTTGGAAGAAGACTGTATTATTGTCACCCTCAGGTAAAATTGACAAAGGGTTACCCACGCTCCAATTACCACCATTCAGCACGGTTTTTAATAACCAAACTTACTCATTTGTGGATATGATTAAACAATACGAAAGCAGTGTTGCATTTGTGCCACTAATTGCCGTTTTAGAGCATATGGCTATTGCCAAATCTTTTGGTATGCTCCTCATACGAGGTTTTCATGGATAAATTACACATTTTTAGCAAAAGGAAAGACAGTTGACGCGACTCAAGAAATGATAGCCTTGGGCTTATGCAATCTCTCAGGATCTCTCATAAGGTCAATGCCGGTAACTGGATCTTTCAATCGCTCGGCCATCAATAAGGCTTCGGGAGTTCAAACTACTTTAGCGGGTGTTATGGTTACTATAATGGTACTATTTGCCCTTGTTTTTCTAACCACTTCATTTTCTTTTATACCCAAAGCGACATTGGCCGCTATGTTAATATACGCAGTTGCTCACGTTGTAGATTATAAAGCCATCATTACACTATGGAGAACTAAGAGTAATTGTTTTACATGGTTCGCTTTACGAATAGCTATAAACTTTTCTTTAGAGATGGATCTAATACCTTTCGTCATTACACTAGTGGCATCCCTTATAATTGGATTGGAATATGGAATTTTAATTGGAATTGGTAGCAACATCATTTTTCTGCTCTATTCCAGCGCGCGACCATCAATTGAGATTGAAAGAGAGAAGTTTCCACAAGGCGACGTATTTGTAGTAACGCCGTGTAGAAGTCTCCAATTTCCATCGGCCGAATATCTGAGGGAGAAGGTGATACAAGACTGTTACGATCCCAAAGTAACGGTCGTACTCAATGGAAAACACATAAATAATGTTGATGCAACAGTGGCGAAAAACTTTAAAGTTCTTGCCGACGATCTGATACTGCGAGAGCAAAGTATTATATTTTGGAACTTTAAAATGAACGTCAAAAATATCTGTAAAGGCGTAGATCAAAAGTTGGTGGACCTTTTTACGGACGGTAACCTACAAGACATTATCGAAGAGTACGTTGCCAAATTTGTCTAGTTAATAATTATTATATTCATTTTTTTTTGCAGTGTTTCCAAACGGAGGAGTACCTACAACATTGGCCAACTTTAATTAGATTCACCTTAGTTGTGGATTTTATTGAACCTTTACGTACTATATACTTTGACTATAACCGTTGAGTGAAAAATTAAGTTATTCAATGCTGTAACTGTTTATACCTATATTAATACTTAATAAAAAATGTAATGTGTTTTTGTCGTTAACTGTCGGGGTATTTGCCCTTTTTTCTTAAACCTATATTATTTTATTTTGCCTTTATTTTTGAGTATGGGTAGGGTTTCAGCCAAGGCTGCTCTGCCAACCCAACCCACTATACAAATATCCATGTCCGAACCAGGGACGGGTCGGCTATATAACTTTATATTATAACTTCTATAAGCACTTTAATTACTTACATTATATTACAAAAACGAAACACATTAAAAGAAAACAATAATTATTTACGTACCAAGTGTATTAGTTTGATGTTAATGTTCTTTTCGAGGGTGACAAGATTGCAAGTCTGAGAACCTTGCCCGGAGGGCTTGTAAATGGCCCGAGTAATGCCAGAGGTGGATGCCTAGCTTTTATTTTTCACCCCTGTCGCACTAAAAATCGACTTTAATTTCAATATTTTTAACAATGGATTTTTAAGCGCAGAGTATTTTTGCCCAAAACGCGAATGTGGATATCCACTGAGCGAAAAGTATTGTTTAAATTTAACAAATCAATTTGTTTAGGCCACATTTATTTATCGTTACCTACCGTTTTTAACTGTTAAGATCGTTTATTAAACAATAAGATAGACATTCTTTAATATATAGAAAATCATATAGTATCTGTCTGTATTTTAGATATTAATATACTGGCATAGTATTAAACAAATCACCTTTAGGATTACCGCTTACAAGTCTAAAATGACATGATACTTTCTAACAATAAAGAATGCTGAACTTATTACTTTACACTTATAAAGTAGGTACTGTATACAAAGTTGAGGTGTGGACATCTTGTCTTTTCATTCAAGCATACTGTGTAGTTACCTCATTGAATTAGTCATTAATTAGTGCGGCTACAGGGTTGATATTATAAAACAGTAAAGTGCATTGTGAATGTGATTTTCATTTGTTTCCCGAAATCCAACAAATCACATTATGTGGTGCTTCAATTTTACGTTAGAAATATGGACTACGAGATGGACTAATATAGAATCTAGCGAAAATTATTGAGGCGGTGCGCGGGTTTAGCGCAATTTTCCGAAGTGTTTGTAGGTAAGTGAGTCCCATATTAGCCATATTAGTTTCTAAAGTAGTGTAGTATAGTACTCTTTTGCATTAATTGCTTAATAATAATAATAATGATGGTACCTATGACATCATTCCTACCAGAAAACACAAAATGAGCATAGCTTTAGCCATAATAATACCGTATAATACACAATGCCAAGCTATAGCCATACTAGGAACTCGTTTGCTATATATTGTTTTAATTTTTTACTTTTTGGTTTGCCAAAAAAATTTGAAGTTTTTGGGTGTTTTACTTGGGAAATAAATTTTGTTTTTGGTAATTAATGTTGTCTTGGTATTGAAAATTACATCCTCATTTTATTTTTAGAATTTGGAAAAAAACACAATGGATGAAACCCATAGAATTTTATTAAAAGATCGCGTACCGAATTGAGCATCCCTTTTCGAAGTTGAGTCGATTAAATTTAATGGAGTGAATTTCACAATTGGTTGCGCGTTGATACTTCTAGACCCAAAGGATGACGGTGAATTACCTGTATAGTTGGGATTGTAAAGTATATTTTCTACAGAAGATAAAGGTGTGTTTTTATTTTGTAATGTTATTACTAATATAGGTACTATACATCCTGATAGGTGTGGTTATATATTGAACACGTTCACACACACATTTGGTTGCTGGTGGGCAATATGTGTTAAATATGTTTAAAGTAAAATAAATGATTATTTTTCTTTTTATTATTAGTAAAATTAACAAGTAGTTAAGTAGTTTATTAACGCAGTTACGGATTTTTAGCACATTTAAGATTATCTACAGGATTTTTTTTAAATAAACAGTTATTGATTTGGATTCTTTGTTGTTAATATTAGTTAATTTACATCCCGTTTAATCCTATCAAATAGTTATTGAAAGTTAATAAATATTTTGTACCCATCAAGTGCATAATTCTTAAATCACTTTGTCATTAGTAAAGAAATTGTGGTAAGCATCATTTATACCGGAATTAATACAAAACGTTTCTTAATAATAAAATACCATTAGATCTAGGTATATTATCAACGTATTCCATTATCATTATTAAACAAAATTTAATACCAATTTTGCCTTCTTTAATAGCTAGTAAATATCAAATTTATAGTTATTATACCACATTACTATCAAACAGTTTGAGGCTTAGGGTATAACAATTATATGTTAACAGTTAAAGAATAGCATTATCTTCAAACAAATATGTAGGATTAATTTCAATCATTTATTGCTTATGGTAAAAATACTATTTCTAGGTGTTAAGATATCTTTATTCACCATAATTGAGTAAACCATTTCGTAACAAAAACATTTTATTTGTTTGTTGACATTTGAACTTTATATTTGTTAACTCAAAATAAAATTTGTTTACTGTAACCAAACTTTTTTCTCAGTGTANCTAACCACTTCATTTTCTTTTATACCCAAAGCGACATTGGCCGCTATGTTAATATACGCAGTTGCTCACGTTGTAGATTATAAAGCCATCATTACACTATGGAGAACTAAGAGTAATTGTTTTACATGGTTCGCTTTACGAATAGCTATAAACTTTTCTTTAGAGATGGATCTAATACCTTTCGTCATTACACTAGTGGCATCCCTTATAATTGGATTGGAATATGGAATTTTAATTGGAATTGGTAGCAACATCATTTTTCTGCTCTATTCCAGCGCGCGACCATCAATTGAGATTGAAAGAGAGAAGTTTCCACAAGGCGACGTATTTGTAGTAACGCCGTGTAGAAGTCTCCAATTTCCATCGGCCGAATATCTGAGGGAGAAGGTGATACAAGACTGTTACGATCCCAAAGTAACGGTCGTACTCAATGGAAAACACATAAATAATGTTGATGCAACAGTGGCGAAAAACTTTAAAGTTCTTGCCGACGATCTGATACTGCGAGAGCAAAGTATTATATTTTGGAACTTTAAAATGAACGTCAAAAATATCTGTAAAGGCGTAGATCAAAAGTTGGTGGACCTTTTTACGGACGGTAACCTACAAGACATTATCGAAGAGTACGTTGCCAAATTTGTCTAGTTAATAATTATTATATTCATTTTTTTTTGCAGTGTTTCCAAACGGAGGAGTACCTACAACATTGGCCAACTTTAATTAGATTCACCTTAGTTGTGGATTTTATTGAACCTTTACGTACTATATACTTTGACTATAACCGTTGAGTGAAAAATTAAGTTATTCAATGCTGTAACTGTTTATACCTATATTAATACTTAATAAAAAATGTAATGTGTTTTTGTCGTTAACTGTCGGGGTATTTGCCCTTTTTTCTTAAACCTATATTATTTTATTTTGCCTTTATTTTTGAGTATGGGTAGGGTTTCAGCCAAGGCTGCTCTGCCAACCCAACCCACTATACAAATATCCATGTCCGAACCAGGGACGGGTCGGCTATATAACTTTATATTATAACTTCTATAAGCACTTTAATTACTTACATTATATTACAAAAACGAAACACATTAAAAGAAAACAATAATTATTTACGTACCAAGTGTATTAGTTTGATGTTAATGTTCTTTTCGAGGGTGACAAGATTGCAAGTCTGAGAACCTTGCCCGGAGGGCTTGTAAATGGCCCGAGTAATGCCAGAGGTGGATGCCTAGCTTTTATTTTTCACCCCTGTCGCACTAAAAATCGACTTTAATTTCAATATTTTTAACAATGGATTTTTAAGCGCAGAGTATTTTTGCCCAAAACGCGAATGTGGATATCTGCTGATATTTATGTAGATTGCGCAACATTTGGCCCTAATACAGTCTGAAAAAGTCAAAGTGCATTTATTGCCACTGAAATTCAAACGCCTTTATGAGACTTACAATGAAAATATAAAAATAGCGGTAATGTCGTGAATGCCACGGTCTTGGCTTAGTTTCAGGAACTGACACGGTTCACTCAAAAATAATAGGTAATTACTAACTTAAATTTCATTATTTTAGTCAGAAAAGTATACTGCAAATGGTCTAGGATGGACTGCAGCTTAGATTTATCTGTCGGTAAATAATATATCATCGGGGACCTCCTTTCTATACACGGTGTCCATTTTTCGAGTGCCACTATGAGGATCTCACTTATCTTAAGAGATAGAAAGTTGGTTAAATGGGGGCAAAGTTGCAAATTTCCGTGCGGAATAAGAATCTGAAAAGAAATTTGAAATATCTTCAATACTTTTGAAGATATCACAAAAAAACGAAAATTTCTGATTTTCGTTTTTAATTTTTTTATGATAAACTAGTCGTAGTAGACATTTCTAATCTAAGCACATTATTCGGACACTTTTTAATGGAGATTTCAAATATGGCATCCTGTTTTTAATTACGTTCAAGATGACGAAGAAACACGTGGCAACTTTAGTTTTTCTTATGGGCGCCATATTGAATTTTGACATTTTGGGATTACGTCTTTTTAGCGCATTTTTGCAAATTTATTTGTAAAAAGTAGCTTTTAATCTCACTTTGGCTGGCTGGCTGGCTGGCTGCAAATGTGGGCGTGTAGAAAAACTCTTGTAGAAAGGCAACGGGTGTACGTGTATCTACAAGGCCGTGAAATTTGTCAACCTTAGGGACATGGCTACATGATGTGGGGTTGGCGACATCTGGGCGTCATCCTCGAGTGTAGTATACTAACGTGAAGGTTTTTCAGTTTTTTCCTATCTTCTACTACAGTTTTGGTCCGATTCTTTTCAAATTGGTGTCGTCGG